CTACCTTTTCTGAGTGTAATAAAGTCTTTAAAATGTCATTCGATTAGTTAGTTAATTCTACAAAGTACATATTTTTATAGAGAAAATATTTATCTATAATTTTCTTCGAGTGGATAGTCAATTACTTAAAAAGAAGATGGAAAAGGAAAAAGGAGATTTTTAGTTTTAATTTCTATCTAAATGGGGGGATGTGTTTTTTGTATTAAGTGTATGATTTAATAGAGAAATTCCCCAGTGAAACAGAAGACGATTAATGCCATTTGGAACATAAAATGGCTAGTAGAAAGTATGGAGAATCTACTTCCATTACGTACGTCTAGAAGTGGAATTAATAACATCCAAAGTGACAGTAGGTTTCCTAGAATGGGAACAGTCCATCAGTAGAAACTGGTGGAGTAACACGGAATCGTCGACCATTAAAGCAATCAAAACCTTCCAGCCAGTTCCTGTTCTACAACAGGTGTGGCTTCCCTGTCTTACACATCTGCTACGATGTGCGGTCGATATCGCAGACCTTTCACTGACAATTTTTTTTTTTTTTTTTTTTTTTCATTTCTTTTTTCTTACTTAAACGTTCTTTTTTATATTCTTTTCATGTCAAAGATTTCAACAAATATTGTCGAAAGTCTTTCGTTGAAATTTTGATTCGTTTTGATTCCTCTTCTCGCAATTTACGTTTCTTCTTATGTCTCTTCCTTTCCGGTAAAGTAAAGTTTATTTACTGAATAGAGGGAAATGTCATGGATAATTCAGGTAAATTTCCTCAAATTTAGCATATATATCCTCAAATTTAATATCAATTTTAGGGAGTTATTGTGGGTTTAGGGAATTTCTATGTATAGGCAATTTTAGCGGAATTTTCTGTCGAGGTATTTCAATTTTACGAGACTATTAGGGTTTCGTGATTTTTAAGGGAATTTTATTTTGAGAGATTTTAATTTTTAGGGAATTGTTTAGTCCAAATTTAAATTTATTATTTTAATTTTAGGAAGTATTTTTTCCAGACCAATCAAAGAAAATTCCCTAAATTTGAAGTTTACTGTAAACTTGAAAGATTCAGAAAATATATGTGGTTATGCGTATCGAAATATAAATTCCCAACTTAGGAAATATTCTCTAAAACTGTGATAAAACCCTTGATTTGGAAAATATCCCTAAATCTACGATGAAAATACCTAATTCATGCAACATAATTTTTGGAATAATTTTATAAATTTTTCGATCTTCTCAAAATAAAATTTTTCGGTTATGTTACTAATTATACTTGCACTTATTAGTAAAATTTAATTAATAATGTATTAACAAGTAAATTAAATTTACAAACAATTTTAATTTTATTATCTATAGTTAATATAATTTTGAAGAGTTTCTCTTTGTAACAAGATTTTTTCGCTTCTTCTTTTCCACCGAAAGTTGTGAAAAAAAGAAACGAGAGAGACTTAATTGAGAAACTTTCTTCTCTTCCTCCATTTTTTTCCTCTCCTTCTCCTCCTCTTCCTCCTCCTCTTGTCTCTTTCTTATCCCTTTCTATAGATTTTTGTGCATGATGATGCACGGTTTGTTAAGCTTAGAAAAATGTGGTACCCAATCGAAAATTTCATTTACAAAAGTAGTAAAACATCTCACATGATGGGGACAGCATAGGATCAACATCAGTCTGAATCAGGAAATGGATGCCATGGGATCTTGGTAATGCTCTTCCGCATCTTTACTACTACGCTACCGGATATTCTATTAATAATTCACTTGGAAATTTATGAAACTATCAGATACTTTTACATCTTTCATTTCGGGATCGGGTTTTAATCTTTTAAATCCTATAAAGAAATCTCGTCTTTTAGGTATTTTTAATAATATAACATCAAACAGGATTTGGGTGCAATCGAAGGGAGGTTAGCAATCTTGATCCATTTCTTTGTAAAATGTGCAAAAATTTAATCCCTCCTTCAATCTTAAATAAATAAAATTTGATATTTTATATTTATTACTTCGTCTCTTCAAATTTTATGCCCGTTCTTTAACGTTTACTCACTCTTAAACGTTATCTAGAAGCTTTTATTCAGTCTTCAATGCAACTCATTTGCATCTGGTTGTGTAAAGAAATGAATTAAAGCTCGTTGCTTCGCATCTTTCTCGTGTTTTCTAACCTAACGAAATGGATAAACAGAAACAGCTGAATAGGATTTCTATAGAACTTTAGAAAGATTTCCATAATTAAATAAATGATATACGTTCTAAACCTTGTATACTGAGATTTTCTACAAGAATGCTGTTATTGTCATTTTAATCGACTTCAACGTCTTCTATTTTGTTTTCTTGACAATATAATATATAAGTTTAAAAATTTTAACACTTTATTGGTTATGAAGTTTAGCTAAATACATGATTTTTTTGTTTTTTATAGTTGCAAAATAAGAAAAATAAGTTTGGTGAATTATTTTTCGTTGCATTGCTTTCAAGTTTTTGAAAATTTATAAATTTAATCATACACATTATAATTATTGTAAACAGCTATTACTATTTTTTATATAGAATTAATTTTGTATTAAATTTTTATAAAATTTTTTAAGAAAACGATCAGTTCTTAAACACTAATAAACGAAGTATTTTCTATAGTTTATCAACTAGTAGATCGCGATCCAAAAAGATGCACAAGATCAGACTTTGCTTACTTTAAATCATTCCCTTTTTTAAATGAAAGATAATCAAATCAAGAATGAAGCTCAATTCTTACTTTTTAAATGATTTTTAATAACAAATTTACTGAATTAATTCGTATTTATTTCATAATTTCTTTAAAAGATCGAGAAGAGAAAACTCTCATCAATCTCTCACAAAAATTAATTTTTACTGCATCAAGACTGAGCCAATTTATAGCAATTTCCCATGACGACTTTATTTTTATTTCCTTTAAGCTATAAACTAAATAAAAGTACGACATGATCCAACTAATTATCAGAGCATCTTGAGGCACATCAAATTCAATGATCCAAAAAAAACTGACAAATTGAACTTCAGTAAAGTTGTAAGCTATAATGTTATTTGAATTTTTTAGTCATTTTTTCCGTGTATGTATATATATATATAGATTAATATGGTTGAACGAAAAGCAAAAATGTAGTATCATCTCGGAGATATCCACCCGCTAGCGATTTGCAATTGAAAACTCGTGAGCAGTCACGTAACTTCGCGTGAAGATCAACCTAAATGCAATGTACACATACCAAAAAAAGAATAAAAAATAAAAAAAAACTAATATCAAATCCATCTAGAATTATTTTGATTGAAGTATTTCTTACAAATCGATAAATATTATATCATATAATAAGTTTTCGTTTTGCTACCAGATTGAATTTCCTTATGGTAGCTTCTCTCTCTCTTTCTCTCTCCCCCATTTTTTCTATCCACCCTTTCTCTATTGATTACGTATGACGCTTTACTTACTTCAATGAATCCATTCAAACGTTTTGTGTATTCTGTTATCGTTTCCTCTCAGTATTTGTAACAGTTCGTCACATCAACTCGCTTGACATGTTTCAAATGCTTTCTCTTTCCCTCCCTCCCTCCTCTCTCTCACTTACTCACTCACTCACTCTCTTGAAAATATTAGAAGAGGGGGAGAAAAATGTATTTTCACATTCACTACGAATCTGTAAAGTGTTTGTCACATGCGAAGAAACTCATGAATTTCGTGTAGTTCTCTTATAGAAATGCAACGTGATGGGCAAACAAAACACGTTTATAGCACACCCATCCCCCTATTACATTGATTTTTTCTACAGGAAAAAAAACATGGCGCATTTTTCTGCACATACAAAAAAAGAAGATAATTGATGGTCTTTTGTACTTTTCATCACTCGCCTCTTTGTATAATGTTAAACTGGTGATTAGAATTATCTTAAAGGCGTTAAAACCTTGTATAATTTAATTAAGAATTTTAATTGTTATAGCTTCAATTGCTTAATTTCTAAAAGGTGGTGATAATTTACAATGTTTTTTTTTCTTAGTAGAAAATGTGTTTTTATTATTATTCAATTGCACATTAACCAGCTACACACTATCAAAAAAGGTGAAGCTCCCAACGTTATCGATGTTTTTAGCGGGGGTTAAAGCTGCAAAGTTAAAGCTGTAGTAAGAAGATTAAATATATATCTATAGCGAAATTACTTCTCTGAAATGTTTCATGAATGATTTATGATTCGATCTATCATTTTTATGATAATTTAGTTAAAATTTCATTAGGTATTTATGATAACTAAACATAAACCTGAACCATATCCAACGATGCTACTTCAACTCTGCAACGTGTTCGGAAAGTTTAATTTGTATAAAGAAAAAATTCTTTAAATATATAAATATATATATATTATGATATAAGAAATTATTAATTTTGCATGTAATTTACTTAAAAACAGTTTACTCTCGAATGAACGATTTTTTAAAAGGGAAATTTTTAAGGAATTTTCGAAAGATGATTCAAAGTTAATCCAATTAAGATTTTCCTCTTCATTTGTAAGATTCGAGAAATTTTCGTTAAATCAAAATTCCGTTTTTAAAAATTAAAAATTTCACTGAAACTGTTTATCGTCTGCAAACAATCTCCACAGTTTCCTATCAGAATTTTTTAGGGATTTTCAAAAAAAAACGTTTGGTTAACTTGTTTTAAAAATACAAAACAATCCCTAATTTCCTTAATATTGTCTTTAAAATCCTTAATTTCTTTAATTAATGTTACTTTTGAAACTTCCGGAATAGCCGAAATTTTTATTCATGTTTTAAAATTTTGCAAAATTGCAAATTTTCCTAACTTTAGTTAAAAATCCCTGAGAGTCCCTCAATTTCGCTAATATTCATTTAAAAAGTAAAAAAAAAAAATCCCTTCCCCTTTTAAGACGTGATTAACTTAATCGAATGTAGACGTATTTAACGAAAAATGATATATAAAATCCTCAATATACGAACCTTTATAAATCTGGAAAAAAATAATAAAAAATCGTTATTTACAGTTGGGAAAATCCGACACGGGACATGTGCATCTGTACAGAACCGACCTTAATACCGAAGGGACGTATAGATGCGAGGTATCAGCAGAGGCTCCTTCTTTCCAGACAGTACGAGATGAGAAAGAATTGAGGATTTATGGTAAGTCTACAAAATGGGTATTTTTCCATATATTTTTTCCCCCTCGCTATCCAATAGTCATATACGGAGTTACATCACAGGTCAACAGCAGTGCTTAAAGAGAGGGAAATTCGGGACGTAGACCATCTGTTATTGATTACATTAATCATATGACAAATATTGAAGTTATTGACAATCAGGTGACATCAATCGTTCAATCTGACAAAGTGAAGGGTGGTGTCACCTCACCGCTATCCATCACAACTATTGGTTAGTTAAGGTCACGCCTTCACTTCTATGAATCACTAGACGGTGATACTTTTTTAATAAAGATTGGTCACTTTCCTGATTTATTGTTACCTTGACATAATTTAGATGGCATAAATAAATTACCAGTTGTAATTTTATTATTATTATTATTATATTTTTTACATTGTTGAATATATAATTAATCATAAGCATTAATATACATAATTATCCATTTAAATAAACCATTTAAAATTAATTTCTTAAATATAGGAAATTGTAATTATTTATGCTCGATTAACAGGCTGTTGTGACTCAGGAATTACATTTCCTACGTGAGATTAATGGAAATTTTTACGTAGAAATGATTCAATTAGGTTAGGGAATATTTAGGGAATTTCAATTTCATGAATCATTTCATAAACATCACATTTTTGCAAGCATATAAAATATTTTTATAAAATTGTCAATATATTCAGGGAGTGTTTAAGAAAAATAAAATTCCCTAAACATTCCCCACTGTTTAGGGAATTTTTTTACCATTACTCGCCGTTTAGGGAATTTCGTGAAAGATAATTTTATTATCCCCAAACATTCCCTAAACATTCTAAAATTTTGTTCAAATTAAAATCCCCAAATTTTCCCAAATTTAGTTAAAATTTTCTTAAAATTGCTCAACATTTTTAAAAGTAATTTAACTAAAATTATGATTTATAGAAATGAAAATTTATGATTTTTATACCTGTAGAAATGAGCTGCTTAAAATTTAAAAATATAAATATATATTAGTTTTTATCGAGTTTATATTTAATTTAAACGATTAATTTATAAGCTATTTTAAATTTTATATCCAAAAAATATAAGATTTATTGATAAATTCAAAATACTTTCCTCGACAGAAAAATTACTTTCATAGCATTTTCGTATTTTTACCCTTGAAATATTGATTTTTTTTCAGTACAAGTGTATAAAATTTTAACTATAAAAACCTTTACATATATTAATTTGTGCTTTAATAAATAGATATTTTATCGTAAGAAATGTTAAAATATTGAAATATAAATTTCAGATATTTTTGAATGAATATTTCTCTTAGAAATTCGTAATTTTTTTAAAAAATAATTTGAAAAATTTTATAAATTCAGGGAAAAGATTAACTGAAAATTTGAGGTATTTCAAGGAAACATTTTAGTTAAATCCCTATTTTTTTTAAAGGAATTCGAGTATTTTTAAAGTAGCTTCAGGGAATTTTTAGGGAAATATTTCCCTAAAAATTACATTTAAAGATTTTTTTAAAATTTTAAATGAATTTAGAACAGTAAAAATTCTTTTAAAGTCAACAACCTTTCTTCGTATGAAAATAAAGAAAATTATCTATATATAAATGTAGAATTGAATGAAGATATTAAAATATAATTATGAGTAAATATTCTTATCTTAAAATATATATTTTCAGATTTATAATTAAGTTAAAGCACAATATTTCGTGCATTTTCATACTATTTCTGTAACGTATGTATATTTATATATATAATTGTAAGTTCTGTGTACACAGAACTGTATGCACGAAACAACATTAAACCAGCAATTTACTATATTTTTAAGCAGATAAATATCATATTTTATATATATAAATTTAAGATATAAACCTTCATGTTTATAAAAATCTGAGAAAGGACTACAAATACCACAAAATTCCCAAAATTTGGACTTATAAAAATTTTAAATTATATGCTTATCTATCGAAGTATCATCTCTAGACGTGCGTGTATGTATGTATATATATATATATCACATTGTTTACCTCATCTTTATACATTCTACAGATAGGTGTATCTGGATAAGTTCAGTTACTATTGCTGTATATTTATATTCATTAAGCAATGACATCTCGAAAGTGAAGTGGAGATTGTGATGTTTCCTAATGTACGGCGCTTATCTAAATCATTTATTATACACTTTATAATACTACACATCTAGAACATTCTTAATTATTATAAATCTTACGGTTGATTCAATAGTAAACGTTTCAACCACTTGGCTTCTACTGAAGAGTTCTGGATAGAACACAGATGGTAAAATGACTTTCTGTACTTGATATACAATCCCCTTAGGACAACAAGACAGATGTAATGATGCGAACCTTCTACTCTTCTTTCTATCCGTGTAATCGCAGGATTACGCGCTTTATCAGCCATTCTACTAATTGATTAGCTGAAGAACTACAAGAAGGTATCTTGTCACTTCCTGATTGGTTCCTCTTCACTTATCGCACATCCTTTATGTTCTGCTTTATCCCTTTTCTTTGTGATCTTAACGTGTGAAAAGTGGCTAAATATAAATATAAACACTAATTTAAGTAGGTACGATACGATATTAGAATGGAAAGTTAATTACTTACCCAAAAATTTAGCTTACTTAATAAATTCATGAGATTGTAACTCAACTTCTATCCAACTAATTATTCTATAGACATTAAGTAGCCATTTACATGGCAATATATTTAGTAAACAGAATGAAGACTTCAATTTTTAATCTCCCGAGTGTCTCTTGCACTCGGTTCCTATTTGCTGAGTCGTTATTGGATGATGCTAGTCGTAATTAAAGATGGCAAAGTTTAAACAAATTAAGGCGAAATTAGTTAAATTTATTATTAGAAAATGTAGAAAAATTTCGGTTTTTAAAAACTTAAATATCAATAAATGACGAACGAAGCTCGTGTTTCTCTTGAGGATTTTTATGAGATGCAATAATCCTCAGTTTATGGCACTTAGGAGGAACAACTAAAAATCTTACTCTAAAATCCTCAACATCGGGAGAATTTCTGATATTGAAGAAATTTCAAGTATGGGAAGGGCAAAATTCTCTTTATACCTGAAATTTCTTACATAAATTGGCGTTAGGAGATAAACAAGAACACGATTTAAGTTTAGAAACGGAGCTTCTAACTGTTTATAAATACTTAATTAGGAGTTCTTATATGTCTACGAATATTTTCAGGTCAATATTCCCCTTAAAACCTGATTTATAACCCACCTAAGTACCGTTTGCAAGTGATAATTCTAATTAAAAATAGAGCAGTTTACTTAATTAAGGCAAAATTAGTTATATTATCATCTCGTATACGTAGAAAACACCTTTCTTAACATCATAAATGTTAAAAAAGAACCTCATCTATAGTTATATTCCTTAGAGACAGAGTCGTTCCTTAGAGTTTAGAAGCAAGACTGATGAGACTTATGGGATAAAAGGTGAAGGCAATGGCACCCAAACCGTAAATTACCGAAACGGCAACCACACCCCAACCATGTTGAAAAATTAATACATTTTCTGCCACGCTGTAGAATTTTAAAGAAGCTGCCATGAAACAGGTGGAGGTGTGTTATTCACATGTTCTTATGATGCAAATTTTCTCTAGTCCCTACAGCAAAAGAGCACGAAAGTGTTTTAACTTGCTACTGCAGTCAGCTCGAACACGCGACTAACATCACTAAGTTATGATCTTGTTCTATTCAATCTAAACTGACATGTAATGAAGAATCGATGCCTCAAATGATTTCCTCGTCGATAGTTAAACAACTAGGGGGATGGTGCTTTATTTGATGCTTTTGTTCGTTAAACTTTCTCAGTTTTAAATGCCCAAACGGGTGTGGGAATAGAAAGCTGTTCTGTGCAACCGTTCCCCTGCACGCACACCCTATTTAATGAAGGTTCCACAAACAAAAGTTAGATGATGAACCCCTGAGTGGGAAATAACCTACTTTAATAGTAGTAGAAGGTGTGTTAGATGACTAACTCGTGTGTTTCTGATACGCTTAATAGTTCCAGATTATATACGAAAATTACTACATCTGTCAGCTTTCTGACCCCTCCTGGAAATGTGCACGTCACGATACATTCTGTTCTCATTTTTTTATAGTAAATTTGATTATATTTTCGATTTTATTACATCGTTTTTTGGTATATATACCACCGGAACTATGTTGAAAAATTCATCATCCTAAATGGAAAACAATAGGGTTTACGTAACTCAGCTTCCACCTGCACTATGCAAATCCCCACCAGCACCTCTACTTGATCCTATTTTAGATAAAAATGATCATGTTAATATATTTCCTCCATTAGCAAATACCATTTTTTCTATAGATCAAGTTAAAAATTCTCTTATACGCTTTATACTTTATTTTTTTCCTGTTCTGTAAATCTTTCTTGATCAAAATAAAAACCTTTTGGGGAATTTGATCAGATAATACATAAAGGTGTCGAAAAAATGCTCGACTCTTTACACTGACAGCACGAGAATTACGGTAAGAATGATTGATTTTTGGTCTCTCAGGATGGGATACTAGCATCTCCTGAGAGTACCTCTTCTAATGCTTTGAGATCCCAAAGCTGTCATTTTGTTTTACGTTGTACAAAATACCCGCAGTCATGACTACAGTGTTGATGTTCCAGCTGTTGGGTGTTATATTCCTAACATAATGACTTGATTTTTGTCTTCTACACAATGCAAAGGAATCGTGCATTTATGTCTTTATCCCTCCCCAAAGGTTAGACTTTTAAAAACATTCTACGCCATCTTGTAGAGGGATGTTTTGTAACTGATATTTATAAATAAATTATCTTACTCTAGACAGTCGACTGATGATACATATCTACAACAATACCTTGTATGCGTATTTTTTAAAAAATCATATTTAGCTTCTAGAACTAACAAGATCACTGGAGAGTGCTTATCTCAATTAATTAAAAACCATCATCATCCTCGCATCTCG